GTGATGTTCCCCAAGGGTCGGTCCTTGGACGGATCCGATTCAACTTATTCATGCAACAAACTGGCAAATGAAATTTCATGTGGATTGAATTGTAAAGTACTGCCCCCTCCTCCTAATATCCGGCCTGGACCTCCCCCCACTGCAACTGACCCCTTTGTAGACAAATCGCTGATAATTTTCATGTGTGACCTCTGTTTTCATGGGACTTTGTTCCAAAGCCTCATTTAAAAACTCTTCTAGGACTGGAAGGGACCTCGAAGACGTCATCGAGTCCCTGATAGACATTTAATCTAACCTACTCTTAAATAGCTCAAGAGATGGAGATTAACCACCCTGACCATTAGGAAAAAGTTCCTAACGTCCACCCTAGACCTCCCTTGCTGCAGTTTAAACCCATTGCTTCTGGTTCTATCCTTATGAGGCGAAGGTGAACAAGTTTTCTCCCTCCTCCTCCTGACATCCTTTTAGATACCTGAAAACTGCTATCATGTCCCCTCTCAGGACCCTTTCCAATTTCTCCACATCTTTTTTAATTGTGTCTTGCTCACAATACATCCCATCTACCTAGACAGTCTCTAAATTGTATTTGTCTAGTTTATTGATAAGAATATCATGCAAGACCATATCAAATGCCTTACTAAAGTCTAGGTATACCACATCCACTGCTTCACCCTTATCCACAAGGCTCACACGATTGTTGTTTCTACATTTGCCCTTTTCCAGTCTTCTGGAATCTCTCCCATGATTTTCCAAAGATAATAGCTAGAGGCTCAGATAGCTCCTTGAGTATTCAATACTTTGCATTGCCCTTGGTATAATATTATAGCTCCTAAGGATAGAAGAAAATTTTCTTTTTGCTAGCAGTAGAACAAGAGCTGCTCCCCCCCTTAATCAATTGCCCTGTTGAATGGTTGGGGAGGGGCTGGGAGTTTGTGACACACCCCCCCCCCCCCAAGCAGTACATGGTGTCTAAACAAAACTGGCCCCAGGACCAACCCTTGGCATAGTTGGCAAGTTACTGTCCCCATTCAGTAAGGGGCCCAGAAAAGCTCTGCCCCTAGTTGGTTCTTCCAGCACTTAGTACCAGGAAAGTTTGATAGCAAACTCCCACCACAACATGCTGGGCATTGGCCATTCTCTGTGTAGATGATTTCCCCACCCCAGATTCTTCAACAGGGTCCCCAGGAATAAAAGTCACAGGAGGAGCCTCACTGCCAGAAAGGCGTCCTGCCCAGCCTGAGGGAGGCACTTTATTTATCAGCACCCAAGGGTGGCTCTAGGGCTCCTGCAGCAGCTTCTCCAGGATCTCTTCGCACATGTAGAGGGCACGTGGCACATGGAAGCAGCCTGCGAGGGGACAAAGGGGGTTTACACCACATTCCTGTCATGCTGAGCTGTCCCAGCGCGTCAGCCTGCCGACTCCATGACACTGGGGGACACCCACCTCCCCCGCTTACCCTTGAAGGGTCCCCCCTTGATGGTGAGCGCCACCTTCCCGTCCTGCGCCAGGTAGCCAAACCACTCGCCGTGCTCTGGGTCCCGGAACTGCAGGAGGACAGACAGCACCTGTCAGACAGACCACCTCCAGCACGTCGCCAGGGCAACGACCCCCCAAAGCAGGGCCGCTAAAGCCAGTAAGGGCACACGCGGGGGGGCCCCCCCCCCATGCTCAGGGGACCAGTAGCAATGGCAGGAGGCACTCCATGCCCTGGTGAGGGCGGACGATGACTGACGGCCCCACCCCGTGGAACAAGGAGTGTGGAGCTGTCGGGATGGCCCTGCGAGGGGAGGCCGGTGTGACATTATATCTCATTGGAAGGTGACAGGGCCAGGAAGAGTTAATTACCGACCGGACCCAGGGCCGAACTGTAGCGACTGGCTAGGAAGATCTGTGACCGAACAGAGCTCTGAAATGCAGCCGCATTGTGAGAGAGAGAAGGGGAGCGGTTTGCTCGGGGCTTGCGATGGGAGCAAACAAGTCTTGTCTATTGCTAGAGCTTTGATTCAAAGATCATCTTTTCTAATCAATGTTAGCTGAGAATTGGTTGTAGCGTCTATTTTGGGTAAGATTTACGTTATCATTGTGGCCACTTTAAGGGAACAGCGCTGTTTGGACTTCGGAGTAACCAGTGAGGTCCTGGTTTGGTAAATCTCAGCGTTCGGGGTTTGTCTGTTCGATTGAGTGACCTCAGCTGCCTCCCACGGGCACACAAGTGAAACAGCCGCATGGACACGGTGTAAAAACACTGGCACAGGGGCTCAGGCACAAACCCGTCACGGCGAGGAAAGACACAGTGGGATCAGGCCGACCAAGAGCAGCCACTAGACACGGACACTCACCGGGAAGACGTCTGACGGCCCCGACACGGGGGGAAGACAAGGCCCCCATCGAGGGGTCGGGACAAATCAATGACTTGCCCAGGCTAGGAAGTGGCAGGACTGGTCCCTGCGGTATGTGGCTGACATGACGCTGGTTTTAACACAGCGCCGCACGGTTTGCTGGGGCTTTGGACAGGAAAATCTGCCTCCTGGATCAGTATTGGCCTGTCAGAGAAGCTCAGCTGGACCCCACGCCATGGGGGAGGGGAGCTGGGTGAAGACAGGAAGACGCTCGGTAGCCGAATGGGTGTCAGTGACGCCCGGTGGAGAACACAACCCCTCTGTTCTCCCGCCAAGCACCTGGGTCAGTGTCCCACCATCGCTGTAATGAAGTGGGGGGGTTCTCTGGGTTTTGTCACTGGTTTGCATGCCGCGGGGGTGGGACTCAGTGTCCCTGGTTTAACGAGGGAGGGGAGAGGGAGTTCGTTGGGACACAGGACCAGTGAGGGAATTTCGGACTGTGACGAAGTGGGACTGTTCTTAATGTTTTCCTCAGTTTCCCCTATGCAGCTCTTCAGTCTCTAGGGGGTGGGATAAGGGTGTCTGGTTGCTGCAGAGCAAAGGGCCAGGGTACATAAATGCCCGACACTGCCTCCTAGCAACTAATGGCCTGGGCCCCTCCTCTGCAAAGGTGCCAACTGAAGGTGTTGGCGCCAAAGGGATCAGGTGACCTCCTGGCCTGGGAAAGAGACAAAGCCCAGAGAAGGAGGGTCTGGGGGCTGGACGGGAGCTGGCTGGGGACTAGGAGTGAGGGCAGACGGGGGTCTGCCGCGCTGGGCCCCAGAATGGACCCGGCGGAGGGGGTCCTGTTCACTGGACCTACAAGCTCTGTTTTAGACCATGTTCCTGTCATCTAAGCTCTGTGTTACTGGCTGGCTGAGAGTCACGTCTGACTGCGAAGTGGGGGTGCAGGACCCTCTGGCTCCCCCAGGACCCCGCCGGGGCGGACTCGCTGTGGGAAGCGCACGGAGGGGCATATGCTGAATGCTCCCAGGTCAGACCCAGGAGGTGAAGCCGTGTGAGCTGCTTGCCCTGAGGACGGTCTGCTCCGAGGGAGAGGAGGCTCCCCAGAGTCCTGACTGGCTTTGTGGGGAGCAGTTCCAGAGCATCGCCCGGGGACTCCGTGACAGGGACCCCGGCCAACGGCCTGGAGAACAGAGACCCCAGCGACTGGTGACCCGGAGTCACAGCCGGTTCTGGCCAGTGGGGGGACAATGGGCTGCGGGGAGAGGACCCCGGTGACCGGACCAGCCGGTTCCAGCCCGAGGGGCCAGAGGACAGAAGAGGGGAGAGGGGCCCAGGCGACCCTGTTTCCCTGGAGAGAAGACAATGGACAGAGGGGGGGCTTGGGGCAATCAGATGCCCAGCTGGGGAGCAGGGGGCTCGGGGCTGGAGAGGGGGAGCAGGCAGAGCCCCCCTAGATGCAGGGGAGACTGGGATGTGCTGGGCTGAGGGGGGCCAGGCCTGAGAGTTTCCTGTGCTGGGGTCAGACGCTCAATAACCCTCCTGTGCGACGCTGGCTGAGAGTCCCTCTGGGCTAGAGAACGGGGGGGGGGATTATTCCCCCTGGGAGCGGGGAGA